TATATATATATAGTACTGTGTTTATTTCTTTTTATATATCTCTCTCAGTTTAGGGTTATATCAATGGAGTGATAAAGTCATTAAAAGAGCAACTCGGCTGTGGGACATCCGTGGTGGCCACATGGTTAGACACACGGTCCATCTTCTGGCCACCCCGCGTGTAGTTGTAAGTATTTCTTTCATTTTAAAACAGGGGTGTCAAATTCAATTCCTGGAGGGCCGGAGCCCAGCAGAGTTTAGATTCAACCCTAATTAAACACATCAACTAATCAAGTCCTTCAGGCTTATTTGAAAACTACATGGTATGCGTGTTGGAGCAAAACTTCAGGAATTGAGTTTGACACCCCTGTTTTAAAGGAACACCATCTAAATAGTCTAATTAAGCTACATGAATTATTTTGATGTTTTATCAGGAGGAAGCCAGGAGACATTTTAATTGCCCCATTCTAGAGGGCATGGAATTGGAGAACCAGGGAGGTGCTGGAACAGAGTTCAACCACTGGGAAAAACGCCTGTTAGAGGTACTGAAACCAAATCTTCTGGGGTGGCGTTCATGAACACTTAACTATTTCAGTGTCGGTATGGTCAAAATACAGTTTAAAAAAAAAATTTAATTCAGCATGTTTTATTTCAACAGAATGAAGCAATGACTGGATCTCACACACAGAACAGAGTGTTTTCTAGAATTACTTTGGCCATAATGGAGGATACAGGGTAAGAGAAGTATTGTTGCTCAGTGCAGTTTATTTATTTATGGAGATATAAGGTTTTATAGTTACAGGTATAGTTCTCCCAAAAATGAAGATTGTGTCATTTTTTTTCACCCTCATGTTGTTTCAAACATGAATAGCTGTATGCTTTGTGGAACACAAAAGATTATATTTTTAAGAATGTTGGAAACAATTTCAGTTTCCATTCACTCCCCCACAGTATGGACAAAAAATGGACTATGGAAGTCAGTGGGACCCAAAACTGGTAACAATATTCTTCAAATGTATTATTATTTGTCAAATTTATTTTGTGTTTCACAGAAAAAAGACATACAGTTTTTAAAATGTAATGAGGGTAGGTAAATTATGACAGAATTTGCATTTTTCAGTGGACTACCCCTTTAAGTGTAATTTAGTAATTTAAGTACTAGAATGTACGGAGCCCCGCACATGGCATGCAAGAAAATCAAACAAACAAAAAAAAATCGTAGGCACGATTTAGTAATTCGAACAAATTATTAAATAGTGCGCACGATCTAGTAAATCGAGGGAACGAATTCATAAATTGTGCGCACGATTTACTTAAAACGAGGGAACTAATTATTAAATCGTGCACACAATCTAATAAATCAAGGTAACAAATTAATAAATCGTGTGCACGATTTACTTAAAACGAGGGAACGAATTATTAAATTATTTAATATCTTTGAAACAATCTGTACTGTATAAAGCGCTATAGACATAAAGGTGACTTCATTTGACTTGATCGAAAATGTGCCATAGAGATTAAGGTACAATTTATGTCCTACTAACGATATTTAGACACAGAGCAATAGTTTGTAGTTTACAGTAACATGTATATAAGTACATATACAAGTGTTACATTTATAATTACTATCCCCCGCCTCCAGTTCACTCATGCATTTGAAGATGAAACGTCACGTGGAGCGCGTTGCATTGTGGGAAACAGTATCCCATGCAGTGATCCTCAGATGCATACAGCAAATTTCAGCAAATGTAGCAGGTAATCTGGGAATTCCATGCATACAGAAAATTTACATACTATTCACAGTATACATATGCAATACATACTACAATGGTAACAATATTCTTCAAATGTATTATTATTTGTCAAATTTATTTTGTGTTTCACAGAAAAAAGACATACAGTTTTTAAAATGTAATGAGGGTAGGTAAATTATGACAGAATTTGCATTTTTCAGTGGACTACCCCTTTAAGTGTAATTTAGTAATTTAAGTACTAGAATGTACGGAGCACCGCACATGGCATGCAAGAAAATCAAACAAACAAAAAAAAATCGTAGGCACGATTTATTAATTCGAACAAATTATTAAATAGTGCGCACAATCTAGTAAATCGAGGGAACGAATTCATAAATTGTGCGCACGATTTACTTAAAACGAGGGAACTAATTATTAAATCGTGCACACAATCTAATAAATCGAGGTAACAAATTAATAAATCGTGTGCACGATTTACTTAAAAAACAGTATCCCATGCAGTGATCCTCAGATGCATACAGCAAATTTCAGCAAATGTAGCAGGTAATCTGGGAATTCCATGCATACAGAAAATTTACATACTATTCACAGTATACATATGCAATACATACTACAATATAGTAGGAGTTGTATGGTAGTATGCCATTCCAAACACAGCTTCTGTATTGATTTCAATGTACTTGCGTTATATTTAGCAGATTCTGGCAAATATAGTAGGTGCAGGTAATCTGGGAATTCCATGCATACAGAAAATTTACATACTATTCACAGTATACATATGCAATACATACTACAATATAGTAGGAGTTGTATGGTAGTATGCCATTCCAAACACAGCTTCTGTATTGATTTCAATGTACTTGAGTTATATTTAGCAGATTCTGGCAAATATAGTAGGCATCGAGGTAACAAATTAATAAATCGTGTGCACGATTTACTTAAAACGAGGGAACGAATTATTAAATCGTGCGCACAATCTAGCAAATTGAGATAATGAATTCATAAATTGTGCGCACGATTTACTTAAAACGAGGGAACTAATTATTGAATCGTGCACACAATCTAGTAAATCGAGGTAACAAATTAATAAATCGTGTGCACGATTTACTTAAAACGAGGGAATGAATTATTAAATCGTGCGCACAATCTAGTAAATCGAGGTAACTAATTAATAAATCCTGCCCACGATTTACTTAAAATTTTCTTGCATGTCATGTGCGAGGCACCGTAAGAATGGTAAGTATGCAATATTGTAGGGGGAATGTGGTTCAGGAATATGTTACCAGGATGGTGTGTCCATTAAACACAATCTAGTAAATCGAGGTAACAAATTAATAAATCGTGCCCACGATTTACTTAAAATGAGGGAACGAATTATTAAATTGTGCGCACAATCTTGTAAATCGAGGTAACAAATTAATAAATCGTGTGCACGATTTACTTAAAACGAGGGAATGAATTATTAAATCGTGCGCACAATCTAGTAAATCGAGGTAACTAATTAATAAATCCTGCCCACGATTTATTTATTTTTTTCTTGCATGTCATGTGCGAGGCACCGTAAGAATGGTAAGTATGCAATATTGTAGGGGGAATGTGGTTCAGGAATATGTTACCAGGATGGTGTGTCCATTAAAACACATTGGATAGTTCTCAAGCCAAGATCCTTTATTTGTCAGAGCACATCCGATAGCAGAATGTTTATCAAGCCAGGGTTGCATAGGAATCAAACAATAGAGTTGTATCAATAGAGTTGTATGGTATCTAAACAAAAACAATAAAGAACAAACAAGACCTTAAATAAATTTAACATCATGGAGTTCAAAAAATGAATTACAAATCATATAATCCAACAAATTCAAGCAATTTAACAATCAAATACTAAAGACAATAATACTTAAGAATTCTGAATCACCTATAACAATTCAAAGTTAAACCCAAACAAACATAACCTCAAAATAATACAAGGGAATAAACTTACAAAGTCAGACACACACCAACGCTACAGAAATCTCTCAACTAGGAGAGAAGGAAAAGGAATGACTGCTTCCACTGCATGCTGCCCATACACACAAAGGCTGTGTTCGAAATGGCATACTGCCTACTGCCCAGTATACAGTGTATACTGCCTACTAGTTTTTTAAGAATAGTGTGTGAAACAGCATACAATAAGCAACGAAATGTTTCAGAGTAGTATACTACAGTGTTGTCCCTTGACAAACCCTGAACCTTAATTCAGCACAGCTGTCGAGGCTGTTACCTTACAAATAAATGTGCTAACCATTATTTTAACAAAGGCTTGTTAATACGGGTTCATACTAGTAAAAAATGCTATATTGCCCAATTGAACTCATTTCATAATTAATTAACTTTACATATTGAACAGAACTGAATCAACACTGAGCTGTCTTTAACTGAACAATGATAGGCCAAATAATTTTCTTTTTGACAGTTACATTAAGTGGAAAAAACTATATATTCTAGTTACACTAAGTGCAAATAATGATACATTTTGTTTACACTAAAATAGCAGTATTTTCTTTAGCAATAGTCTGTGTAAATAGTAGTTAGGTGGCAGATATTTATACTTCAATACTGTAGTACATTATAAAACAATATGTAATATATAGTAGGAGTTGTATGGTAGTATGCCATTCCAAACACAGCTTCTGTATTGATTTCAATGTACTTGCGTTATATTTAGCAGATTCTGGCAAATATAGTAGGTCATCCGTGCATTCCGTGCATACAGAAAATTTGCATACTATGCACAGTGTACATACTGGATACTGCAGAAATAGTAAGAGTAGTATGATATTATGGCATTTCAAACACAGCAGCACACACCCCAAACAAGTAGCCAATCAATCATTCAGTGCACCTGTGGAGACCTAGCTCCTCCCATCACCGGCTATGTCATGTGATCCATGAGAATTCTCAACAGTAAGACTATTATAATTGGCTCCTCTCTGTGCTGTTTTCTGTTTTAAGGTGGTACAGGGCAAATTATAGTATGGCGGAGAACCTGGAGTGGGGAAGATTTTTGGGTTGTGACTTTGTGATGAAAAGCTGTAAATTCTGGATAGACCAACATCGCCATACGTAAGCTTTGATACATGAGATACATTAAACTTTGTGCACACTCACAAATACATCTATTGTTGTTGTTTTTGATGTATTAAGTGGACAACGTACTTTTATGCATTTTGGCAGATGTTTTTACCAAAATGTTATACAATTGCATAAAAGCTATAGATTTCATCAGTTTTCCCTGGGAATCAGACTTATGTTGCTAGTGCTACAGAAACAAATTAGATTGTGTGTTGTACATTTGTAGCAGTTATTTATTTCAGATTGATTCCAGTATCTTTTCTAGAGAAATTGCAGTTTCATAGTCTTAAATATACGTACAGCATATTGGTAAAGATTTGGGTCATTGATTGGACATCTGTTCTTAATGAGTGTTTTCCTTGTGTGTTTGAAACAGGAGGCCAACCCTGAGCCCGTACTGTGATTCTGTGAGGAGTGCACCTCTGCAGCTCACCTGCAGGCAGGACCAGCTGGCAGTGGCCGTGTGCAACCTGCAGAAGTTTCCTCATGCGCTTCCTGTAGAGTATCAGGTAAGATCAGCAGAATTGCATTTTCACTCAATCCTAAATCTGCAGTTACCACATTAAGATTGAACATTAACATCATGATTTTCTTCTTTGAAACACTGTATTTTGAAAAGCACTATACAAATAAATTTTACTTGTTGTTTACAGATAAATACAAGATGACTGCCTTTATTGAAGGTTAATTAAATCATTTTGAATGTAATAAACCCTCTCCATCCTGTAGTACTTTGACCATATTCCTGGTGTCCCTGAGGAAGATTTGCCAGCATACGGAGGGGCTGTTGAGATCGCAGACTACTGTCCTTTTAGCCAGGAGTTTAGTTGGCATGTGGGTGGGGAATACCAGCGCAGCTCTTACTGTGGAATACAGGAGAACCAGCCAGGTGAGATGCCATTCACTCACATCCTTTCTTCATTTAGAAGCAGAATGGAAGGAGTTTGCTTATTCCCTCTTGTGCCTGTCAGTATTTTTCCCATGTAAACTCTTCTACTATTCCACAACACAAGACTTCTGGGATTTTGCTTTTTTAGCCACATGGAGAAACTATGGTGTGGAACAGTATGGCCCAGGATCAGTGTGTCTCTACCAAAAGTCACCATTTGTAATGGAGCAGTGCACCAAAAGAATGACCTACCCAGACTGGGGCAGTGGTTGCTATAAGGTAATAATGTAATGGTAGATCTCATGAGAGATGGGACAGTCGCTGCCGAAGTGTGTCTATTATGTACCACCACAACATAGAAAAATGGTGATTTATGTGTACTGAAACTGTGATTTGTGTTGCAGGTGTCTTGTACAGCACAAGGGTTGTTGGTCTGGGTGCAGAATGATTCCTATCCATGTGTTCGTACTGGTCAGGTGATCAGTGTGAGCATACGGATGAATGGATGGGTCTACAGCGGCCAGCTCATCTGCCCAACCTGCTCCGACTTCTGCAGCGACTGCCCCCTCCCTCATGAGATCCCCCCTCTAAACACCACCAAGAGTGCCCGCTTAGGTGAGTTACTGTCTGACACGCATCACCACGTTTATGGCTGTAAGACTATACCATGAGTGGTTGGTTTTTGGTGTTATTGTTAATATAGTAAATTATATATATATATATATATATATAATTTTTACATTAAAATTGATTTTATACATATTAAATATTTATTATTATTATTATTTATAATGCATATCAAATATGTATGAATAATGTAGTAAATGAATAAACATTGATAAAAAAAAATTCATATTAAATAAAAATAAGTATTATTAATTGGCAAGGCAAGTTTATTTATATTGCAAATTTCAAACACAATGGCAATTAAAAGTGATTATAAAATTTATAAAAAAAATCCTACAAGATGCATTAAAAATGTCTGTAAAAAGTAAAAAAAAAAAAAAGAATAAATGTATTACATTTAAAATATTGAAATTTAAATGTATTAAAATTGATTAAAATATTAGTATTTTTAAAAAATTAGTGAAGCTGTCAACTCTGGGAAAAAAAGCCACCAATTTTGTCTGTCTGAAATAAAATGTATAAACATTGAATGTGTAAGATGTAGCAAGAAAAAAAGGTTTTCCATATACATAAGGCAAGCCAGGTACAAGGTTCAAATAAAGTAAAATATGTTTGTTCGCAAAAAAAAAAAAAAAAAATAGTTCATAATAATTCTTTTCTTCTCTCAGATCCTTGTTCCAGATCTTCTTGTTTGGTGGTGAACTTATGGCAGCTCCTGTTAACTCTTACTCCACTGCTGATCGGCTTCCTCCTCTGTGGCAGGGACTGAATTTGTTCCCAGTTGATTGGGTGAATATGGATGCCTTGATATGCTACAGGCTTCCCTTGAGATTTAGCTGCTGTGGACAGCAAAACAGCGGTCACTTCCGTAGTGTAGCCTGTGATCTGATAACTCTTCTCTCTCTATGTGGAGGTGTGAACTGTAGATGGGATTGAAAAGCCATTGATTGCTCCTTGCCTGGCTGTCAGGTGCCAGCGAGCTGTAGATCCTATGTGAAGCCATAGGCATGCAAGTTATGGTTATGCAGGTGCTAATTAATGTCCTCTTTGTCTCTCTGATGGACCTGTAGCATTTTGGTACTTGAAATAGGCATCTGGTTGAGAATGATGAGAGATGTTCTCTCTGGTGTGTTCTGCTCATGGTGCTTCTCTGTTGTTTCGTGAAATTAACTTGCTGGCAATGTTTTGATCAGCGTATATCAGGTCATGTGACTGACGATGCTTGTGATTTTGCATGGAGAAGTGCAGGAGAGATCTCTGTTAAGGTCCGTGCAAGTGCTGAATTTGAATTGTTTTTTCAGAAATTTTAATGTTGCTGTTGTACAAGATAAATACTTCAGAAAGGGTTTAATCATTGAATTTATTAATGTACAGTTGGGTCCAGAAGTCTGGGATTACTTTGAAGATCTGGGATTTGTTTAAATTTACAGGTAAATAGAACACTTTGGGATTTTGAGATATTTCAAAAAAAGGAAAAATATGATTTGATATGAAAATTTCTAGGTCTCTAATCCAAAGTTGACATTGATCATGTGTCTCTTTGTACTGACAGTCAGATGTTCTTGCTTCCGTTGAAGCACAAGATGCTCTTTGTATCGTTCTCAAATCATGCTGGAGAACATACGTTTACACAATTAGTTTTTCTTTTAGTATTTTGTTTTAATTTTAATGTGAAAGTTTTTGTCATTTTGCTGTGAATTTGTCATTTTTATAATTATTTTTAAATGTCTATATAGTTTTTAGTAATTTTCAGTTTTAGTTTAAAAAAAAAATTAAACTAAGTTTAAATAAATGAAAAATGAGAAATGTTGCCTTGGCAACTAACTGAAATAAATACCTTTCCGCTTTATTTTATTTCAAGTAACAAAGGTTTTCTTTATGATTTTAGTTAACTATTATAACCCTGGCTTGAGTGCTGGATTGGATGACGAACCAAATACTAAGAAATTCAGAAATGTATTTTCATTTGTAATTGAAATTTTCACACAAATTATGTTATGTCGATATTATATAATTTGTAATACATTTTGTACTAAATTAAATACTGCATTTTCATTAGTGGTCTCAGACTTGTGGACCTCGTTGTACATGTGCGATTTAGTTTTATTGCAGTGAGTTATTTGACATACAAACATACTGTACTGATTCTGTTTACCTTAAAATGTGTTGCCAGATTTTGGTCCTAAAGGACTGTCCTACCAAGGCTGCAGATCTTTATAGACTTTGTTGTCTTATAACAATCAACTCACTAAAAGCCCTTGAGAAAAGTGCTTTTTATAGACCTTTTTATGAGATCAGATGACATTAGCGTGTTCATTAGTTTGCCTTCACTGAGAAGTATGCATCTTTTTTTTTTAATGCTAATGTAAAATTTGTCATGGTGTCAATTCACTACAGTAGCAAGGTGCCATTAGTAGAGCTCTTTTAACTGACCCTTTTTTTTTTAAAACAATATCTAACACAGATATTCCATTACAAAACTTTTACTTTTTAAAATGTGGGCTGAGTGACTGTGCATGTACATGAAAGCAGGTGTTGATTATTTTCCTAATGCAGTCACATTGTAACTTGCTTTGTTAATGCATTCAAAATGTAGCCATTATTTTAAAAATGAAACTGGGAGCAAATACCGAGGCGTTGCACTGTATATGTGATAGTTTAGAGACTAGATTGTTACTGTTTAGGTGTTAGAGGACTAATGAAGTTGTCTTTTATGTAATTATCTGGTATCTTGTTCTTTTTTTATCTTATCACATTTATTGAGGATGCTGTTGTGAATCAGTGTATTTAGTTACAAGATGAAATAGTTCATACCAACTTTTTAGTATTATAATATTTGACTTCTTTTTGTAATACAATGCTTTCATTTTAGGACAGTGTTAATCGAGTTTTGACAGTGCTGAGAGACAAACATGGCAGCTTTAAATACAACACTATTTTAGAGCCTTTGCATATGGAATATGTTGTATAAATATATACATGTTTCTGGTGTAATACTGATCTCTGCAATGTCGATGAAGAGATTAATTGTGTGAAATATGGAGCAAATGAGACTCTAAAATATGGTGGGATTATGGTATGAATTCATATTTACTGTATGTATAGTTGTAGTTTATGTTCTGAAATGTTGGTCTGACTGAGCCTTACAGTTTAGGGGCTCATTGTAACTGAAGGAGTTTTGTACTCTCAATCAAACCTCAACTGAAATGCCTTTCCTTTCATGGTAATCACTCAAGGACAGTATGAGCATATAGTTTTAACAGTATGTCTGACCATAATTTTCTTAGATTGAAAGCAAGCCTTTGTGCTATGCTCATATAGGAGACCCTTTTCTTGAAAATTGTAATCACTGCGAGCATTGAGGCTTAGTAGCATTGGAACATTTACAAACAAGTTATTTTATTTAATGATGCTTTTTCTGTTATTTACATTTCATTTGGCTTAAATGACTGTGTTACAGTTATATATCATAATAGGACATGTTCATAATTCATTTGTATTATTGCTGTTTTACATTCTAATGAAATTGTCAGTTTAACAGAAGAAGTTTGTTATGTTCTTTTTTGATTTTACTATGTCCCAATGTTCAAATGTAGACTCTACTTGTACTCAAGACCATACATTTCATTAGATATGTCTTTGTATGCCGTTTTCTTTATTTGACTTATTTTATTTATCTACTAATTAATTTAATAAATCATTTCTAAATGTTTTGGTTGGAAAAATATAATAATAATAATAATAATAATGTGTGGAATCAGACAAACCATTGTCTTTTGATAAACATTGGATTCTACAACAAGTAAAAAATGCTTATAAATGACCATAGAAGAGAATAACAACCTATTAGCCAGTATGAAGATAAACAGAAATGAAAAATGCCAAGCAAGCCATGAGACTGTTGTAAGACCAAAAACAAGTCTATGCAGATCTAAAAATCTACCTGTTACAGTTATATATCATAATAGGACATGTTCATAATTCATTTGTATTATTGCTGTTTTACATTCTAATGAAATTGTCAGTTTAACAGAAGAAGTTTGTTATGTTCTTTTTTGATTTTACTATGTCCCAATGTTCAAATGTAGACTCTACTTGTACTCAAGACCATACATTTCATTAGATATGTCTTTGTATGCCGTTTTCTTTATTTGATTTATCTACTTTATCTACTAATTAATTTAATAAATCATTTCTAAATGTTTTGGTTGGAAAAATATAATAATAATAATAATAATAATAATGTGTGGAATCAGACAAACCATTGTCTTTTGATAAACATTGGATTCTACAACAAGTAAAAAATGCTTATAAATGACCATAGAAGAGAATAACAACCTATTAGCCAGTATGAAGATAAACAGAAATGAATTGAAAATGCCAAGCCATGAGACTGTTGTAAGACCAAAAACAAGTCTATGCAGATCTAAAAATCTACCACATAATCTCTCATTATTTTTTTCCCATGTTTTGTATTGTATATGGTACATTAGTGCTCTCTTTTAATAATACACAATTAAAAGAGATGTTAACAGTCCTCCTGTTGAGACATGATTTACATTGTTAACAGTTGTTTATTTTCCCAATAAAATTATGACAAAGAAATGTTTTTTTATTGTACCTTTAAGTCAACATTTGAAAGTGATAAAATCCAAGACATAATTATGATTATAAAATAAAAAGAAAAGAAAAAAAGGCCATTATCTCGATGCCAAAAGTTAAATAGAGTTTAAAAAAAAAATACACCGTATTTGTTTTAGGTTTGCTGACAATAAAAAAAATGGTAAGTTTTCAAAATTTGCATTTGCATATGAGAAGACGACTTGTTCTACAGTGTGCGATGTGCATTTTACTTATTCTTTTATGATTATCATGCATATATTTTTAGAATTGAGAAACTACATGGAATATTTGTACTTTGTAATTTGAATGTTTGTTATTTATA